TGAGACCACCCGCATCGTGATGGGCGAGGAGACGCGCTGCCCCCCGCCCGAGCCCCGCGCCGCGCCCCCCGTGCCTTGCCCCTTCCCCGCGCCCCCCAAGGAGCCCCCCCCGGGCCGCCCCCCCGCGCTGGACCCCGAGCTCTTCTTCACGGCGCCCTCGACGCCGGTGCGGGCGGGGGGGGCGCGGCCGCCCCCCGAGGAGGCGACGGACGGGGACAGCGAGGGGCTGGGCTCGCCCCCCACGTCCCCCTCGGGCTCCTACATGACGGCCGAGGGCGGCAGCTGGGGCTCCTCGGGCACGGCCAGCACCTCCCCGTCCTGCTCCCCCAACCTGCCGGCCGAGGCCGAAGGCCTGGGCGAGCCCGAGGGGCTGGGGGGGGCCCTGGGGCTGCCCCCCGGCCTGGGGGACCCCCCGGCCTTCCCCCCGCTGTCCCCCGAGGAGGAGGATGACGATGATGATGATGATGATGAGGACGGTCCCTTCGCACCGGCGGGCTGTGCGGATGAGGACGATGAGGATGATGATGATGATGAGGACGGGCAGACGTGGGAGGAGGATGAGGAGGATGAGGACGAGGGCTCGGGGCTGATCCCCGCGGCGCTGCTCCCGTTCCGGGGCAGCCTCCTCTTCCAGGCCGAGGCCGTGGAGATCTCGCCGCGGGCCGCCCCCGAGGAGGAGGAGGAGGATGAAGGCAGCACCTCGGCGTCCTTCCTGCGCTCGCTGTCCGAGAGCTCCATCCCCGAGGGCGGGGACGAGGCCTTCGCCTTCCGCGACGACACCGACGCCTCCTCGGACTCGGCCGCCTACGACGGGGACGAGGACGAGCGGCTCTACGGCAGCGAGCGGCACGCGGGGGACTCGGGGACACCCCCGGGGGGCGGCACGGCGACACCCCCGGGGACCCCCCCGGCCTCCCCCGCGCCGCCCGGCGTGGAGCTGCACCTCCGGGCCGGGTCCCCGTGTCACCCCCCGGCACCCCCTGGAGGGGACGCGGAGCTGGACGGGGACGCCTTTGTCACCGTCGCGGGGGCGTGGCCCCCGCCCGAGCCCCCCGAGGGGGCGGCGGAAGGTTCTGGAGCAGCGCAGGCACCGTGCCCGGAGCTGGCAGCGCCCAGCCCTGTGCCCCCGGGCCCTGTGCTCTGTGCCAGGGACACCCAGGGCCACCCGCTGGGGGGGACCAACGGGGAGCCCCAGGACGGCCCTGGGGGTGACAGCGACGGTGACAACGAGCTCAGCACCGGGACAGCGGGGAGTGACGGCCACGGCGAGCTGGGGACAGCAGTGACACCCCTGGGTGACATGGACGCTGCGGCCGATGATGTGGTGACACCGGTGACAGCCAGCCTGATGGACTCTGTGCCCGCTGGCCTGGTGGCACCAGTGACACCGACCCCACTGGACGGGATGGACGCTGCAGCCACCAGCCCGGTGACACCCAGCCCGCCTGGCGAGCCGGACACCGTGGGGACACCGGGGACACCAACCCCGCTGGATGAGCCGGACACTGTGGGGACACTGGGGACACCAACCCCGCTGAATGAGCCGGACACTGTGGGGACACCGGGGACACCAACCCCGCTGAATGAGCCGGACACTGTGGCCACCAACGTGGGGACACTGGGGACACCAACCCCGCTGGACGCTGCAGATGGGGTGACAGCCAGCCTGATGGACAGCACGGCCACCAGCCCGGTGGCACCCAGCCCGTCAGATGCTGCAGCCCCTGGTGCCATGGCACTGGTGACACCAAGCCCACCAGGTGAGCCTGACACCATGGCCACCAGCCTGGTGACACCAGGGACACCAAGCCCCCCAGATGAGCTGGACACCGTGCCCACAGACCTGGTGACACCAGGGACACCAAGCCCACCACATGAGCCTGACATCGTGGCCACCAGCCTGGTGACACCAATGACACCAAGCTCCCCAGATGAGTTGGACACCGTGCCCACGGACCTGGTGACACCAACCCCACTGGTGACACCGAGCTGCCCGGATGAGCCCGACACTGTGGCCACCAGCCTGGTGACACCAGGGACACCGAGCCCACCACATGAGCTGGATGTCACAGCCACTGACCCGGTGACACCGGTGACAGCCAGCCCGCTGGACAAGATGGAAGCTGTGGCCACTGACGTGGTGACACCAGTGACACCCACCCTGAATGCCACTGCGGCCACCAGCCTGGTGACATCAGTGACACCGCCCGCCCTGGATGAGAGTAGTGCTGCGGTGACATCGGTGACATCTGCCCTGACGGACACCACACGGGTGACATCGGTGACACCGACCCCCCGGGACGACACGGCCACCGTGACCTGTGCTGCGGTGGCCCCCAGCCCCGAGGACACCGCGGCCCCCAGCCCGGTGACCCCCGGCCCCCCGGCCGCTGTCCCCGCCCCGTGTCCCCCTGCCCGGGCCGTGTCCCCCGTGGCGCTGGCAGCCGGGGTGGCCCCGTCCCCCGAGTCCCCAGCTGTCCCCCCGTGTCCCCTGGCGCAGGCGGCGCTGTCCCAGCCCCCCGGGGATGTCCCTGAGGACGCGGCCCCCGAGGATTTGTCCCGCACCGCCGCCAGCTTTGTCACCGTCACCGAGGGCAGCGCCGGAGGGACCCCCCCGAGCCCCGCCGGGCCCCGCGGGCAGCCCGGGGAGGAGGAGGAAGAGGAGGATGAGGAGGAAGGCTCCGCGCCCCCGGGCTGGCACTTCACGGCCTCGGAGCGGGAGGTGTTTGTGGGGACCCCCCCGGCCCCCCCCGAGCCGCTGCCACCAGCCGGTGCCTTTGCGGGGCGCGGGGGTGTCCAGCCCCCCCGGCCAGGAGCGCCCCCCGGGGCTGCCCCTCTCCAGGAAGCACCTCGAAGGTAAGAGAGCCCCCAGACCCCCGTGCCTGTGGGACTGGGGGGGGCTTTGGGGGGGGCTTTGGGGGTCCCTGGGTGCAGCCCCACGGGGGGTTTTGGGGGCACCACCAGCTCAGCCCCCCCTTGCCATGGGGTGGTGGGACCAGGGTGGGGAGCTGGGGGTGCCTT